AATAGGAGAGAAGGAAAGAGTCCTGAAAGTTTGGACGGACTATTAATTCCAAGTACTGATAACAAACTCGTTAACTTGTATGAAATTCAATTTGATGATTTGAAAGGTAGGATAGATGAAATGGTGAAAGTAAATACAAAATAACCCATCACCTTGTATCGCGACATATTGCCAATGAGTTAAAATTAGAAACCTTGACAGGAAAAATATATGGTATCTATATCTTTTTAATATGTTGTGATTATAAGTTTAATTTATTTAATGTACATTGGCTTAAAAATATTTGGTCAATATTATTTGATGAAAAGGCAAATGTTTTATAATACGCCAAACTTTTCCCATCTCTAAGGAATGATAAATGCATCATATCTTAGGAACGATAATACCATCGTCTCTAAGGAACGATTTTACTATCGTCTTTAAGAAATGATAATACTATCGTTTCTTAGGTATGATTATACCTATTGTACCTAATAAACAGTGCAACCGTTCCAATCGGATGTCAATCGGTTATAAATAAGATAGGTTAAATTTTGATATATACCAATTGGCTATAAGTATGCCAATCGGCTATAAATAAGATAGGTCAAATTTTGGCTGATTCTTGGCTGATTTCTGATGTATGCCAATCGGCTAGGCTGATTTTTGATAATTTGCTAATTTTAGACTGATTTTAGGCCGATTTTTGCATGTCTGATTTTTTTGATTTTGACTAGTGTAGAAATATCATGTCAAAAAGTATCACGTCTCCTAATAGTCTATCAGAGATATTGTATTTGCACATTTAGAATAACTAAAAAAGCTTAAGTGTTATAGATGATTGATGCTATTAATGTTACTCTTTCTGTTGAATAAGTTAACTATGATTTGAAGTTAGGGAGGCAATAGCTATAACTTAAATCCAATCAATTTGACACGCTATTTATTAGAGAGTTTATTTAGTTAACAAGAAATAAATTATAAGTTTTATGTTTGCAAAATGTTAAGATGGTTTATTATTATTATTAAATGTATATTGAATACAATATTGAGAATCTTTTGGAATCTGTACCTTTTTCAAGGCATTTTCATGCTCTTTATAGGAAAATTACAATTAAGAAAACCTATGGTAAATATGATACTACTGACAATAATAACAGAGCTAACAGATATGCTAATTATGTTAAATATGACATAAATGATAATAGTAATATAAATAATAGAAATATAATAAATATTATGTATATTCTATTTAGCATATATGTCATATTTGACAAGTTCATCAATTTTTGCCAGTTTCAACGCTTATAAATTCAACACAAAAGATAAACTGATACTATTAGTATCTATTTACTCTTTATGTTTGTAATACTTACAGATGTTAAAATATAAGCGTCTATTTTTTTATAAGCAGTAAGGATGTAGATACAGTTGCTGAAGCTTTAATAATAATCTATAATAAGTATTATCACTGGTTTCTCTTATTATATACTTTCAGAGTATAGTAATATCGAAGCTAAGGTATTAAAAAAAATATTTTTCAGCATGGCTGCTAGTAATCAAAAGTGCCAAGTTATCCTTTGCATTATTTATGTTATGAGAATGTGGATACAAAAAAATTCATAAAAAACCTGAGACATCATAATTGTGATAATGCATAAAAGAACAAAAATTGGATATGAAAGTCTTGTTTAAGATGCTATTAATTCTTGTTCTATTCCTTCTATACAAAGTTATATTAAAAGAAATTATGTGAAAAATACTGAGAAATAGGGCTTATATGATCAGTAACATTCTCCCCTGCTTTTATAAGTCACTTCAACAATCATTAGAATCTTTTCATAGTGAATTAAAGAAATAACATCTTCATTACATAGTTTGATTAGTACATGATGATTTTTATTTAGCTATTTTACCTGCATACTCAATTCAAAACTTTTATATTTTAGGTGCTGTTTACAAAGTCATCAATATTGATTGCAAAAAAAGATCTGAAGCTGAAAGTGTATCCTTTGATTTTCATATCAAGAAAATATTTATGTATAGTATTGATGATGATATTCTTGAAGAAATCTAAAAGTTTCTATTTCTGTTTCAATAATTAATCATTAGAGAAGCCTGTACTGTGATGAATAGACTTAAAAAAGGAAAAAGTATGCTAGGTCTTACTTCTCTCGATTATTATTGCTTGTTTTGCTATCGATATTTATTGCCCTGTAAGCATATTACGACACAAAGGCTTACCTTGATATGCATCAAAATCTGGTTAGAAGACCAAAAATGTAAAGTTAGTTAATGTGCACTGAATGTTCAAAATTTACCTCGAGATTATAAGTAAAATATCACCCCACGTGTCTGTGAAATATAAGAAAGGGTAAAATAAAATATTTTTTACCCTGAAAACGGAGATGTAGGGTGAAAATTTTGGGGTGATACTGGGGAAGATATATTCATAAGTTAGAACATACCATTCTTAAGGAAAGTCTCTTTAATGAAATCAAGTTTTTCATTTGACGTTTTACAAGTATCAAGATAACTAATTGCTTTATCTATAACATCGGAATTTTTATAAAAATAAGAGCATAATGTTGTTCTTTCTTTTTCAGTAAAAGTGAGGTTATTAATTATATTGCAAATTTTTGTATCAGACATTTTTGCTTTTATATAAAAAAAAAAAAAATTTTTTTAACAGAAAGAGAGACAAGGGAATACAAATTGGTTCCTTTATATATATTCGTTGCATCAAACCTTCATCAAACTTTCATCACATAAATATACAAAAAGTCACGCGTCTCCTGCGTATCCATCAAAAAATGTCCTGAAATTTTACGTGATAAAATTTGTCACTGGTTTCACTTCCCTCCGCGTTTCATTTTTACTAAGTATTATAGGAACTTTAGGATTTTTTCAGTAATTAAAAATCTGTTTCCAACTATACGTTACATTTGCTTCATGATGCCGGTATTAGACCTGGAATCGTCTCAAACCAAGCTAACAAAACTAATAAACTTAATTACACAATTATTTCAAAGGCCTTTCCTAAGAGAAATTAACGATTAACAAATAAAACAATTTATTATCACGATTCACTTGTGTAGTAGGTTATCACGATCAATCCTATAATGAAGACAAGAA